AAAAAAAAAAAAAAAAAAAAAAAAAGCGACAGCGTACATGAGCCAGTCGTCGCCACTCAACACTGGACAACTAACCGCACCGACCACACGAGACACGCCGGCCACATCTCGCTCGAACGACGCTACCACGACCGGACTGCCATCGTCAACCGCCTCGTCCAAGCCTTTCGGCCACCTCCCCTTCCTCCCGCCACCGGATCTCCTCGGTGCTCCCCCGCTTCTCACAGCTTCGTCCCTCAGACTCGTCCCATTCATGGCGGGGTCTCCAACTGCAAACACGGCCAACCTCACTGCGCAATCATCCGCTCCGCCAACGCGTCCCTCAATATCAGCGCATCCCCCGTCGAAGACTCCATGCACACTGGCCTCAATGGCTGATGCATCCCCAGATCCACTCTACGACGCACGCCGTCTGGACCCACCTCCCTCAGCAGATTGTCGTCAAACGGGACGCCGGCGTCGATGAGTATGTTGTGGAGGATGCAGACGGCGATGAATTGTTGCGGCAAGCTGTCCATGTTGCACTTGTGGGTGCGGAGGAACAACCTCCACATCCCCTTCAATCTGCCAAACGCCCTCTCCACTGCTCCCCTGGCCGTCTTCTGTTTGTTGTCAAAGCGTGCCTCCGTCGGGTGTTGTGCGAGACTGCCGTAAGGGACGACTATCCATTCCGACTACGGATAACCGTTGTCGTCGAGCAAGTAGCCATTAGTCCGCACACCGAAAGGCAGCATCAGAGGCGGCCCAGTGAAAAGTTGTCCTGACTCCGCGCGCACCCACAAACTCGACAGGTTCAGCATCCTCATGTCATGCACACTCCCCGGATAACCGACGAAGACGTCCAGCACACGCAAGTTCATGTCGACCACCACTTGCGCCTGCASGGAGAAWCGACGTYTCCTGTCGCAGTAGTCCTCACCGTTGGCGTTCGCGGGTTTGTCGATGTAGATATGTGTGCAGTCGATGCACCCATGGCAGTTTGGAAACCCCTTGTCCGCGAAGGCGCGCAACACGACCCCCTTCTGCAAACCTGTGGGCCATGATATCTCGTCGGGGTAAGCAGTCAGCAACGCCGCCGTGACGTCACGCACCGCCGTGATGCCGGAAGCCCTCCCGATGCCGAAGCTACACGTCCCGCTGTCGTACGTCTCCCCTGTGGCCCACCTGTACAGTGCATAGGCAATGATATGGTCTGGCTGCAAAGGCACCCTGTAGAATGTCACTCGGCGTTGAAGGAGTGGGGAAAGAGTCTCCGCGATCTCGCGGAAAACACGAGGCGACATTCGAAGTTTCTCCTTGAAGTAATCATCCGTTGCGTCATCACATTGCCGCAGATCCTCCCACGTGCCGCCCGTTCACCGCTTCACCCACCACCGTGGAGTCGCCCGTGGAAACCCCCCGCACCCCATCATGTAGCAGACCTCCAGCACCGCGTCGGAAATGGCAGTCACATCCAAGCACTGGGCAGTCGTCGGAAGCGCCAAGAGCTTGCGTCGTGCACGAACATCCGCTTTGAAGTTCGCGTCATTGCTCGCCATCTGGCAGCGGAAGAGGACGACATTAATCGCCGCAGCAATAGCCGTCCTCTCCGCTGTCGTCAAACCGCCGCGCCCTGCCCCGCCGTCAACGTCCATCCCAGACGCCGCTTTCGATGACATCAAGTCAATCAAACCACTGGACTCCACAAACACCGCCACGCGGAAGATCACAGTGTCGGTGGCTATGCAATATCTTGGGAGCCACGCAGTGAGGATGGTCGTATGCCTTTCCCAACGCTCACGTAAAGTCGTCGTCTCCCTTGCCACCAACGCGTGGACGACTGTGCTCATCGACGACAACCGCAGGGGACAATCGTCACTTATTGCGAACGCCACGAACGCCAGCCGCAGACGCTACCAGGCGTGAAACGTACGTCCACCACGCGCCGCCGATCGCAAAGCCTGATTTCGAATTTCAAATTTTGAACAGGAGCGCTGCGCGCCATTTCCAAGGGCCCCGATTTTGTTTTTTTCTCGTTTCCCGCCCTCCTTCGAATTCGCGACGGCCAACAAAGGTGGACCAGCGTCGTCCGCACGGACACAACTCGGTGGACCACCGTCAGCCCCACCCCCGCGTCCGCTTGTGCATATATAAATCGGGGTCGCGGGAGCCCCGAGGAATCGTCCTCGGGGGTCGACTCCGAGGATGAGTGGAACGAAGGCGACAACTTCCTCGGGCGACTCCGAGGAATCGTCCTCGGGGCCCGAGGATGCCCCGAGGAGTGTCGAACGAGCCCCCATGTCTAGGAGATCGGATCAAAAGACAACTTATTTATTGCGCATGAGGGTTTATAGGCCAACCATCTGTCCTTACACTTTAGAACTCTAATTCGAAACAGCTGTTCATATTTTACCCATCTGGTTTCTTGTGTCGGGCTTTCCACTAGCCTATTGGTTTAGTCGAGGGAAAACAAGGAAAGGAGGGTAGACCCATCGCCATTTACAATCACCACATTACCTAACCGTTGTGGGTCTCCTTGAATCCCAACCCAATCACTCTCTTTAAGTTGGGGACCTTTTCTGAGGATCTTAATCCACTCTAAAGGAATACACTCAACCACTGTTTCTAGTGCATCTCTTGTCTTTCTGCAATAGCGCAAGCATGGAGAGAGGTCGAATGGAGAATACCAGTCCTTAATTTCCTCTTTCATCTAAGGGTGTCTAACGGCCAAAATAATTGGTTTTGTAGAACCTTGCATGGTGGGTGGTTTGTTTGGGGCGGATGCCTTATCTGGGGCGCTTACACAGTAATGTTAAAGGCAAATCTGGCTATATGCTGAAACCTCCGCCGAGTATCCAATAATGAATGCGTCGGTGCAGACAATCAGCATGTGTTGAGACGGGCATGGTCCTATATAAACCTACTAATTTATCGAGAATATTATCGAACCATGATTCGTGGCAGAGAGCCGTATGATGGGAAACTATCACGTGCGGTTCGAAGGGCGGGAAAACACAACTCCCAACCCCTTATATCCCCGATCCTAAGTATCACATTCTTTATCCACCGCATCCAAGGGGAGTCCATACAATGCAACATATTGCCATGAGAGTCGGTGATCCACCTGTTATTGAAGAGGGGTTGCTGACACACTTATTTCCAACGATCCGAAGAAACTTTATCGGGTTGACGTAGTTTACGTCAATTTTGTAGGAGATCAGGCCAAAAGGGATCAATTTCAATGTCCCTCCTTATAGCCTGACGTTTTGGGTCTGCTACTTGCCTTGAGATTTGTCCTCGCCCTCTGAGAATTGACCAATGGCAGTTTTCTAGCCATATCATGGGGTATGTCCCCTCTGGTACTGTTGGGGCTCGACGTGAGATTTGTTCCTCAATAGAGTAAGCCAAGGTGTTTGTGGATTGAAAAGTAAACGTTTAATCTATTGAATGGACAGTGCTACTGCTTGGGTGGAGGGATCTAGTATGCCTAACCCCCCTTTGGTCTTAGGTTGGATTACTGTCTGCCATGCCACTCTGCTTATGACTTTTTGCGATCATGGTTTCCTCTCCACAGAAAGGTTGTTATGTACCTTTGAAGGGATTTAAGTGAAGCTTTGTCCAGCGCTCATATTGCCGATTTAAACCATTCGGATGCTAGGATGACATTATTAATGACCAATGATATTCCTGTAAGAGAGATCTTTTTGTTTTTCCACGCTTCCAATTTAGCTAGAGCAGGTTTGGAAATTCATTCATTATTTGTCATTGGTTTTCCTTCTACAGATAGGGAAATTCCTAGCACTCTGATTGGGGTAGAGAGTGTTAACAAGTTAATGTTTGGTTGTTTTGGGGGTCTCACACCTTAATGATGTATCCACCAACCTTGAGTTTTGGTTCCCCAGTTGATTTTCATGTCTAAGAGGGAACAAAACTTTTGTATCACACTCTTGATTGCTATTAAATTATCCTGAGAGGCTTCCACCATCAAGGAGAGGTCATCCGCAAACAGGGAGCACACATAAATGAACTCTTCCGAGAGATACCTGTATATGTTTAATGTTTTTATTCCATCTTAAATTGACCGCTAAAGCTTCCATCATAATTACTAAAAGAAAAGGAGCGATTAGATCTCCTTGCCTTACTGATCTCTCAAGCTCAATTGGAGGGGTCAGGTTACCGTTGATCACTACCCTAGTTGTAGCATTTGAGTGTAGAATCTCTACCCACCTTCGGAAGCAAGGCCCAAAGTTGAATTTTTTGAGACATTTGTCCAGAAAAAAATAATCAACATGATCATAAGCCTTTTCAAAGTCTATAAAGATGAAGGCCACGTTACGTTTCGATTGTCTGCAGAGCTTGACTAATTCATTGACGAGTAGGATGTTATCTTGAATGTTTCTTCCTTCTATAAAGCTCGTTTGCGTCGGATGAATGATGTAAGTAATGATATTTGTCACGCCGTTTGCAAGTGTCTTTGCTGCCAGCTTATAAACTATTGTGAGTAATGTAATCGGTCTATAATCACCGATATTTGTTTTATCTTCTTTTTTATATAGTAAGGTCAACACCCCTTGTCCTACTATTTCCCCCATCTTGTCAGTGACCCAGGTCTCTTGGTAATAGTCCATAAGGTCTTGAAAGAGATGATCCCACATGCCTTCCCATAACTCTTTTGGTAGACCGTCAATCCCTGGGGTCTTTTCCTCTTCCATCATCATGAGGGCGGTCCAAGTTTCTTCCTTTGTAAGCGGCATGTCAATCATTGTTCTTTGTTGTTCCGTCAGAGATTTGGTCATAGACTTCAGGAAGTCCACCTCCTTTACCCTCTTGTCGTGCGGTTGATGTTTACATCCTGATGTAAAGAGACATTTATAATAATCCCTCGCTATTCTGGTGCACTCCGTTGTCGAAGTAGTCACAGATTGTTGATTCTTTTGGGGATCAGAGAGAGCTTCGATCAGTTTTTACCTTGGTCATGGCAAAAAATCTAGCATTCATCACCCCTTCCGTGTTTCCATGTCATCTATGTTCCATGTATTCAGGTAGTTTAAACTCTAAATTGCTGATTTTTTTAGCGACCTCTTCCAAATCAGGATTGCTCTCATTTTCCTCTTGTTGTTGCTGCAGCTGGTGAATCTATTTTTGCAGATTGATCTCCTCCATATGGCGTTGCTCGGCTAGCATTTTAGAATATCCATTGCATTTATTGCCCAAGAACATCAGTTCGGCGTTGGACCATCTTATAACATCCTTAATTTTTTCTCTCTAACCTTTCCAAAATGACCAAACATGTTGCAGATATGCTTTAAATCGATCTATACGAAGGTAGAATATCCTCGACCTTGATTTGTTTTTTTCCTGAAAGAGAGTAACACTACATTCATTGCATGATCAAGGCTTGGAAAGACACTTTGAGGGAATATTTCTGCTATTTGTAGTGCACCTTCCAACTCGTCTGACAGAAGTTTAGATCTATACGAGACTTCGAGGCTTTTGTTGTTTGACTTTTTCTAAAGCACGTGCAGGTGTGTTTCGTGGGGTAGAGACATCTATATGCATCAAAAAGGTTGAGAGATTGACAAAGACCTTCAATAATTTGCTCATCCATTTCGATATATGACGGGCACGGAGAAGGAATTTGTCATCGGTCCAGTTGCCTATTTGGTGCTGCATTGAAGTGTCAGACTATTATGACGAGGCTTTCGTTGTTTAACTTTTTCTAAAGCACGTGTAGGTGCATTGCGCGGGGTAGAGACATCTGTATGCATCAAAAGGTTGAGAGATTGACAAAGACCTTCAGTAATTTGCTCATCCATTTCGATGTATGACGGACACGGAGAAGGAATTTGCCATCGATCCAGTTGTCCATTTGCTGCTGCATTGAAGTCTCCCGCTATTATGATGGCGATACCGATCGCGAGGCGTCCTTTAATTGATTCAAAGAAGCGTCTTCTTTCCCTAGGATCATTTGGTCCATAAACATTCAATATTGTTACCACATTTATCTCCAACATTGCCAAGAGGTATACCCATCTCCCCTCTTCTTTGTCAACCTCCCAGTAAAGAGGTTCAATCCTAGAGTTAGGGGGAAGCCAGACGGCTACCCCTGCACTACCTGGACTGGGAGTATGGGCCCTGAAGGCTTGATGGGGCCATATCTGTTCATGTATATGATGATAGTAAGCATTATGCATTAGATATGTTTCTTGTGTACAGATAGCATCAGGTCATTGTCTACCTCCTACCCCTTTGATTTGATCGTAGATTGCCTGTTTTTTTTGTTGCTTGGCCGATTCCACGCCATTTACATTGTGTGACCACTCGTCTAGATCTGTTGTTCTCTTTAGCAGTTTCCACTTTTTATCCCTACTGTACAACATGTCCAATACATTCAAAGCTGCCATGGTCACCCTTTCTGCTATCTGTGACCTGCTTCCTCTTGTACAATTTATTTATGATTAAAAAGGCAACCAGTGGCCAAACCCAGCCCGCAATACTGTTAAACACCAGAAGACACTTCCTGGGATTGTGAGACACTTTGAGACACCTACCCTCTTCACCGGAATAGAACGCCCGGGCATTATAGCTGCTTTTGACCCAACTTTCAGTCCAGAAACGGCTATAATGACCAGGCGTTCTATTTGGGCGAAGACGGTAGTTCTGAGACACTTAAAACACCAGTACATCGCCCCAGCCAAGTTGAGAGTTCGATTGAGCCTCTCCTAAAATTTTGGCGGCTCGCGCACCGTCGATAAAATAAATCGACAGTGGCGGCCTCCGAAACGGGCCCACGGCCAATGGCTGGCATGTACGGGTGGTTTAAACCACCAGTTGACGGAGCCTCTAAGTTGCCGAAGCTGCCCTCCAAGGCTTGCAAGCCTGCAGCTG